CCTCCGACGCAGGACGAGGGCTCGTGGTGTGGCCTTCCCCCACCCAGTGGGTCCTGCATCCTCTGTCCCAGCTGCCAGGAGCAGCAATGGGCGGCAGCGATTGAAGGGGGCGGCGTGGCCGGCTGAGCGTACCCGCCCACCCTAGGTTTGAACAGACTGAGGAGCAGACATCCCCGGGGGCTTGGACTTGAGGCCCCAACTGGTGTGCCCTGCTTCTCCATGTCCCTGCTCAGCCTGCCCAGACCAAGCTCCAGGAAGGCCGGAGGTGCGTGCCCGTTGGCCTGTAAAATTTGGAGGCTGTGCCAGTCACGTACACGTGTGGGACCCCCTCCACCCCCTGCGGGGAACCATGTGTTTGCGGGGCGCTCCATCCTAAAACGAATCCATGCAGAAATGCCAGTGTCATTTTGATCTGAAGTCTAGGACGACATGAAGGAAACGAGGGGCGTGTGGAGAGGGGCTAAAAATACCGTAGGATTTCCATCTACCTTTTCCAAGAAAAGAACCAAGGCTCCCTCTGGCCTGGCCTTCTTTCTTCGGAGGAGCTTCTCTGCCATTCAGCTCCTCCAGCAGACACCTTCTGGACGGGCACCTCCCGAGCCAGGCCCCGGGGGGGTGCAGTTCCCCAGCTGCGGGTCCCAAGTCCCCATCCCTGAATGCTCAGGCCGGTGGCCACCAGAGGTCTGCAGTGGGACAGAGCTGGGACCGAGTGAGTTCGGGCAGCACCGGCCTCATGACTGAGGGACCACCACCGGCTTCACACCTCTTGGAGCCTTGCCACCCGTGAAATAGGATGGGTGGCAGCAGCCGGCCCTGGGGATGGGGACGGGAGGACGATGCAGGCACTGGTCCAGAGCAAGCGTGTGTCATTACCAGGGGTCCAGGAGAGCTACCCCAGAGGTGACTTTGTCCACACACCCAGTTCTCCTGCCTCCAAAAGTAGGTGGGTCCTGGTGGCTGAAAGGGCCTTTGCTTGTTAAGAAGGATGGCAGGCTGGGTAGGAAAGTCTGAGACCAAGGGACTCAGCTCAACTTTTCTGCCAGAAAGGAGGGAGATGCTGACGGGGTGGGGCCAGGATGGTTTGGTGCCATCGGCAGGACACACACACACACACACACACACACACACACAACTTGTCTCTGCATAGATAAGCATGTGCTGGAGGGGAACCTGAAGTCTAACAGGGGATGCAGAGGTGTGTGGGGGGCGCCGGAGGTGGAAGCTCCCTCTTGCAGGGCTCCCCCCACCCTGTGGGAGGTCCATGAAAGCCCCCCTGTCCCGAATGCTCTGGTGCACTGGGCTTGTTCAGGGACAATGCGATGCAGGAACCAGTCCTGCTTCGGGGCCTGGGCTCCAGCCGCTCGCTGTTCCCATCCTGTGTCTTCTTCCAGGAGGGGATCCTTATTTTACCCTCACCCCTCCTGGACTCCAGGGGTGCAAGAGAGGTGGGCAGCCCAGGCCATGGAGCACCCTATGTCTTCAGCCAGATTAGCACAAGCCTGCCTTCCCGGGGCTCACGGTGTCGTGGGAATGTCAGGCCTTAGGTACGGGTGGGGCCCAGGGGAGGCTGGGCCAGGTTGCCCCACGGGGAAACCGGGAACATCCTGTACTCGGGTAGATGGGCCCAGGGTCAGGGAAAGCGAAGAATGGGGGGTGGAGGTTGCAGGTAGGAAGCAGCAAAGGGCCTCCGGGAGGTGAGTGTGTGTGCTGTCCGTCCACGGAGGAGGGAGTCGAGCGTGGGGAGCCAGCAGCCAGAGGCGGCCTAGAGAGGCCTCCCCATTAAGGGCCTTCCAGCCCAGGCTACAAAGCGGGACACTTCCACCCAGGGCACCGGGCAGCAGCGGAGGGCTCTGGGCGGGCAGAGGGAGGGCAGCCCCTCTGGCTGCCGAGTGCTGGCCTGGCTGGCCGGGGGCGCAGCTGGGGAGAGAGGCAGCCCAGACGGGCCACTGCTCAGACTCCCTGTGCTGCCGGCGGATAAAACTCGGGGGCCGAGAACTCGTGGACAAACAAGAACTCATGAGCTTGGTTAGCTTCCCTCCCATGAAGAGCATGGTCAACAAAGCCCAGCCCCGTGAAGGTTTGGTCCTGTACTCAGGTAGCAGCCCCCAAGGTTTGGTCCCAGCAGAGATCACAGAGGCTCACGTCACACCCAGGGCGGTGCTGAGACCCCGAAATATCCTCTCTGCTCCCGACCACTCTGATGTCCCGGTGAGCACGGGCCCCGCGTGAGATCTGGCTGTTGACCCGTCCGGCGAGACGTGCGGATACCACTGTTGACACATTTTAAAGATGCGCCGGACGTAGTGGTTTCAGTAGAGTTGGTTTTGGTTTCCTTCGTGATCTTAGGTATTTTATTGTAAAAACACTATTTTAAGAAAGTGTCCCTGGGCTCCCAGGTGCCCGAAGGAGTCACACAGACCACGTCAAGACCCCCAAGATGGAGGGTGGGACCCCCACTCTGTCGTGCGGACAGGGGTTTCCCCGGATAATTCTTTTAAGATGGTTTTTTGGTTTCCCCCAGATCTGTGTGGCCCTCTGTGGCCCCCGCACCCTCGTCACCAACCTCCTCATCTGCTGAGGTTGCCGGGCAGAGCGGGTGCCCCGTTTCCACAACCGTGATGCTCCCCGGCCTGCTTCTGGGCAGCTTTTTTTGCCTGAAGCGCTACGGACTTTGACTATTTAGGGGGACTTTCATTTCAGACTTTTGGAGCACCTGCCTCGGAACGAGAAGTCTTCCGGCAGGTGGGTCACAGCACACGGATCCCCCGGGATCTGGCTGAAGTGCAGAGTCGGTGGCGGCAGGTGTGGGCTTGGCCTGAGACTCCACACCTGAGAGGCAGGGGCAGGACGATCTCCGGAGGACCTACAACAGACAAAGAAAAACAGTGAGACGGTTTCTCAGAGCCCAGCCCCGGAGACGCACAGGAAACGCTCCATCGGAGAAGGTTCCCTGGTGACGCCGTGCACAGTCAACTATTAACCAATGATGTCACTCACTCAACAGACTCCTTGACCTGTGGCTGGGGCCTCAATGCGGACAGGACAGGCAGCCTCGTGGGGGACAGACCGATCACAGACTCCTCTGTCTGAGCAGGTCTCCCAGGAGCTCACGAAGCTAAAGCCCCAGCGGCCCCTCTTGCGCTCAGCTCTCTTCCAGGCCATGGGTTTGCATACACACGGGCTTCTCCTCAACTGGAAGGCCTGCAGAAGGTTCTGGTCCCACCACCCGTTTCCACCCCTGAAATTTCAGGGACAAGTCCCTTCGAGGGAACACGTGGAGGGACTGGAGGCGGGGGATGGGGTGGGTTGGGAGGACGGCGGGCCACTGGGGCAGACTCAGAGCCACAGGCCTACACTGGCCACAGCCGGCTCGGGGCTTGGCCTGAGCTCCCTGGTGGCCAAAGCGAGACCTGATCAAGGATGTGACCTTCATTGTAGGGAGTTTGGTTCTTGGAGGGGACACCGGTGGCCATGGCCCACAAATCTGTGTGTGAAAGGTTCTGTGGGTTAGGGAGGGACCTATGGCAGCAGGTCCTTTATCCTAATTTATGAAATCCCTGGTCCTGATTTTTCGGATGTAATTTGCCAACTTTTAACAAGATGTTTTGATGTAGATTACCATAAATTTTTTTTGAACAAGGCTGGATATAACACAGAGGCCTGCTCCCAGCCCAGCAGACGAGGAGCTGCTCCTTTCAGGGGGTGGGGGGCAGCCCCAGCGGAAGGAGCCCCTTGGCTTCTTCAGGACCCAGGCTCAGCACTCGCCCTCCTGGGGCTTCAGCCTCCCCATCACAGGTGAGGCCCCACTGGCTGGCAAATGGGGCCTCCCTCAGCTCAGGGCAGGGAGCTCAGGGGTCCCCACAAAGGCACCGGAGTCCCCAGAGGCCTGGGATGCTCAGATCTCCACAATTGAGCCCTTCACACTAGGACGTGGGGACATAACAGAGGGCCCAGCCCCCCGGTGAGGGCAGAGCCCAGACAGGTCCCTGCCATTTCTGCCCTTTGCCTGGCCCTTCTGCCTTGAGGGGATCCTGCTGGTAGTGGTCCCCCCCCAACTCCCCACCCCAACGTTAGCTGGTCTCAGGCTTATCCCAGCTTCCATGAAGGAGCTGGGAGCCACGGAGAGTCGTTCAGGGATCTCAGCCCCTCAGCTCAGCCGAACGGCCGTTCTCCTTGGTTCTCAGACCAGGGACAAGCTTCTGGCCCAATTCCCAGCCCCCAGGCCCGGTTCCCCGGAGGCTGGGGTCACTCACTCTTGTTCTCCCAGCTGCCTAGCTGCACCCTACCTGGGGCCCCCCGCCTGTTCCTGGAGCACCCTCCAAGGGCTGGGTGGCCACGGAGCTCGTTAGGCCAGTACACTCCCATCTCACAAATGACAAGACCGAGCTCCTCGCGGTTCTGCCCCCTCACCGCACGTGTGCACCGTGAACTGAATCCTAGTGGACAGAAGCTCGTGCATGCAGGCGGCTCCTCCCGCCCATCCCCATGGGCTGGTGGTCCCTGTGATTTGGCAGCAGGTGAGGCATCAGCCTTCCCTCCCTGACCACCCGACTCACAGAACTCCCCAGCCCCCTTCCGTTAGGCCTGCTCCCTGGGCACTCCCTCCCCACCTCCAACAGAAAATTAACTCCAGGCGAAGTGAGCATTCTGAATGGGGTCGGAGGGTTGGCTTCCAACCGGGTGTAAAAAACATCCCCCACCCAGCCCAGAAGGAACCTCACATGCCCTTCTCCCCCTGCTGGCCACGCTGACCCCTGACCCTTTGAGCGAGCCCCTTCCCCGCCATGGTCCCAGCCACTCCTGAGAGGCTACTCAGCTTTCCAGCTCTTCGTTCTGGGGCCCCTGGGCCCCACTGTCAGGACAGGACAGAGAAACCAGACACTAGGAGCCTGCCCGCCCTGGGAGCCGGGGGCAGAGACCCCAGCGAGGCAAGGGGCAACCTGAGGGTGAGCACTAGGGAAGGATGTCTGGGGCCTGGCGTCGCAGACACAAGCTCGGGATCGGGGCAGACAGCTTTATTCCATCCCCTTCCTGCCCCCCAGCTGCCCTGGGCAGAGTGAGGACAGGCTGCAAGGAGGGCCTGGAACAGGGTCAGACAGGAGGTCACGCCATGGCCTGAGGTGAGTGGGAAGGGGGAAGGCGGATGTGCTACCGACCCCCATTGCCCTGGGGATCGTTCCGGACGCCTGGCTGAGCCACAGGACTCAGTCTCCGTGGGTGTGGACGCTGGCGGGCTGCGGCAGGCCGGGGGTGGGTGGCCAGGTCTGTTTGGTGCCCACAGGGCTGACCGGTGCGCCTGGTGACCCGCGTGGGGTGGTGGAGGGGCCAACACCCAGAACGGAGCAGGGCCGGGGGCTCGGGTGGTGACACTTTTTCCATCCAAGACTCAGGAACGGCAAGGTGGCCAGGGCCCACAGCCGACCACATGGGACAGAGTAAAAAAACTCTTGCACACACGCACCCCACAGGCACACACACGGTCAGTAGAAACTCGAGGCTGTCACACGATGCTCTGCCGACCCCCGGCCCCCTCAAACTCCGATGTGCCTGAGCCCCGGGCCCGGCCAAAGTCAATGAAGATCCCTTCCGAATCTGAGTCCACGGACTCCAAGATCTGGTCCACCAGGTTCTCTGGACTGGAAGAGGGTGGGGAGGGGCGGGCAGCACCTGGGCCAGGCTCGGGGGGCTGGGTGGGGGGATAGAGTCTGCTGGGGCATAGCCCCGACTGCGGGCCCGCAGACGGTCTGAAGGCCCCAGGGGGAGCCTGGCCAGGTGTGTCGGAGAAGCCCTGGGGCTCGGGACAGGATGTCATCTCCGAGACCGAGTGCCTGCGGATGCCGGGGCCGCCGGGTGCTGCTCCCTCGGCCTCGTGCTCTGCCACGGGGTTCAGCAGTGGGGTGTTGTAGCTCTTGGAGCGCACCACCGGGTTCTTGGCCAGGACATCCCCCGAGCGGGAGCGGCGCAGGAAGTGCTTCTCTGCAGAGACAGACAGACAAGGTGTCGGGCACGGGGGCCCAGGGGCCACCAGGGGGGAGGGGGCCACTTGGCAAACCCAGGCACCTGTGTGGTCCAGGCCCTTCCTGAGGCCAGAGGCTAGCCGGCAGCCACTGTGTGCTTAGCTCCGCACAAAGGGCAGCCACGGGGAAAAGCCCGATTGGGGCAGATCCTCAGCCCAGCCCCCTCACGCCCCTGCAAGTGAGGAAGAGGGCTCTGACATTGGGTCTGTCCCTGTGTGTCTTCTTCCTTCCTTCCTCCGTCCCAGCCTCACTCTGGATGGTCAGGAGCTGGGGGAGGGGGAGGCTCAATCAGCTGCTTGGTTCAAATGCGCACGTGCCTCAGTTTCCCCACCTATGGAAAGTTAAACAACCCGCGGCACTTCCTGGAGTCCCAGTGTGCGTGGAGAGGGCGAAGCCATGTGGGTGGACCACAGGTCAGGCGGTGGTTAAGTGTCAGGGCGGGGGCAGGATGACACAGGGTCTTTTCACGTGAGGTGGTCAGGGCTGGGGTTTTATTCGGAGTGTGGCGGGCGCCCGGGGGGCAGACGAGGATGGCCTCGGGCTGATCTCAGGCTCCCACTCAGGGCCCTGCAGTTCCACCGAGTGACCACCATGTGGCAGGGCTGAGCCCGGTGAGCAGCTCAGGGGCCTTTCCAGGGCAAGAGACAGAGCCCCCCCCCCTCCGGCAAGCAGAGGCCTGGAGTCCAGAGACGCACGGAGTCGGGGGCGGGGGGCGGGAAGCAGGGGCTCTCCTCCAGCTGCTGGGGCCTGCCTGGTAGCTGGGCTTTACACCAGCAGGTAGCTGGGCCCTCCCAAGTGGCCCTTGTGCCTCTGGGCTCCCCCAGTCCAGGATGGTCTTTGTGCACCTCTCCCCAGGCCTGGTTCCTCCTCCGTCAGCACACCTGTCGCTTCCAGTCTGGCCTTCCCCCACATGGCCCTCATATCACCTGGGTATGGGTCCCCGTGGAGACTCATCTGGGGATTGTTTACTCATTGGTCTGCCTTCCCTGGCCCTGAGAGCCCATGTGGGTGGGCCTTGGTCTCTGCTGATCCCCCACGGCCAAGAACGGGGGCAGGCACACAGCCGGTGCTCGGTTTACAGAGGCGAATGAACCCATGGGCTGTCTGTTAAAGGAGCAACGTGGCGGGCTTCTGCCAGGCAGGCCAGGCAGCCCCAGGACGCCCACCTCCCCCTTCCCCTCCCCTGTGAGTCCCCACACAAGCTAGGTTTCTTGGGCTCCGGGCCTTTGCATGTGCTGTGCCCTCCGCTGGCCACCTCCTGCCTTTCAGGACTGAACACAGATGGAACCTCACTGGGAACACAGCAGCCTCTGTGGGGCTCTCGGGGAAGTCATCACATTACCATATACGGTGTCAGCCTGACAGGTCCCCTTCACTTCTTGAAGGAGGGACCCTGGGCCCCGCGTGCCCAGGGCCCAGCACACAGCAGGGCTGGGGGATGCTCAGGACAGTCTCATGCATGACCGAAAAGCAAATCCCCAGTGGGATCTGGTTGTGGCCATCTATTCACTGGGAGGCCTGGACCCTGGGCAGAGGTGGATGGGGCCTGAGGTTACCCAGCTCCCCGCTCAAGACCCAGTCAAGCCCTACCCAGGATGCAGGAATGTGTGAAGGGGCCCTCGCCGGAGTAGAGGCCGTAGGTGCCGAGGTAGGGCGACACCACCTTCTGGATCAGCGTCTCCAGGCGCAAGTAGTCCTTGGTCACGCCCCGGGACTCGTGCACCCCCTGCAAGAGAGGGAGGGAGGCAGGTGGTCACTAGATAGCCTGTTCCTTGCCGCCCTGGCCCAGCCAGGCTTAGCTCGACTGTCACCACTAAAGGCCTCCGCTGGGGACCCCTGCCCTCACTCCTCATCCCATGGAGTGCTACAGGCAGGAAAGGCTGCCCCCCAGGGCCACCAGGCCCTGCCCACCTTCTCCTCCCTGACGCCCCTCGTCCAGAGCTCTGAGGAGATCTCTACCTCTTCTGGTTCCATTAAAGCCAAAGCCTGAGGAAGGCAGCCGCCCACAGGACAGCCTTGGTCTGGCTGACGGGGGGGGGGCAAGCTCTGTGCCCCCAGCACCCCCAGCAGAGGCCTGGCACACAGCAGGGCCTTAGTGAGCGCGAAGAAACGGGAAGACATTCCTCCTCGAGGGGCCGCCAGTTGCTCACAGCACAAGATACTCTTAGAACGTTAGATGACAGCTCTGGACAGCGCCAGAGCCCCCGGCCACGCCGCCCACGAGAAACCCACTTCAACTGGAAAAACACACACAGACTAAAAGCAAAGGGTTGAGGGGCGCCTGGGTGGCGTAGTCAGTTAAGGGGCCGACTCCTGATTTCGGCTCAGGTCATGATCTCAGGGTCGTGGGATCGAGCCCCACCTCGGGCTCCCGGCGTACGGAGTCGGCTTAGGATTCTCTCTCTCCCTTTGCCCCTCCCTCCCTCCCTCCCTCCAATCAATCAATCAATGCAAAGGGTTGAGAGAGCTATGCCATGCTGATGCCAGTCACAGGAAAGCTGGAGCAGCTAGCTTAATTTCAAGGTTAATTTCAGACAGGGTGGACTTTAGTCATAGGGGGCCAAAAAGGTCACTATGTAACAATACAGAGGTCAATTCTCTGGGAGGACGTAACAACCCCTGACATGCCTGCACCTAAAAACAGAGCGCCAGACCACGGGAGGCAAAACCACTAGAAGCTTGGGAGAGATCGTTAATCCACTAGGGGAGACAGACCAGCAGGCAGAAAACCGGGAAGGACACACCGCGCTTTACCACTACCATCAACCGACGGGACCTAATCGCCATCAGACTGCCTCCCCCCACGACAGCGGAACACACGTTCCGCAGCTCACGGGGCACGCCTGCCAAGTCAGACCATGTTCTGGGCCACAAAACGCACCTTCACAGATTGGAAAGGATAGAAATCATACAGCGCCTGCTCTCAGGCCACAGCGGCGTGAAACCAGGAATCAGAACAGGAAGACAGCTGGGAGATCCCCAAGTATGTGGAGAGCAAACAACTCACTTCTAAATAACCCGTGGATCAAAGAGGAAATCTTTTTTCTATTTTTTTTTTTTAAGGATTTTATTTACTTGACAGAAAGAGAGAGCATAAGCAGGGTGAGCAGCAGGACAGAGGCAGAGGGACAAGCAGACTGCCCGCTGAGCAGGGAGCCCGACGCGGGGCTCGACCCCAGGACCCTGAGATCATGACCTGAGCCGAAGGCAGACACTTAACCAACTGAGCCCCCCAGCTGACCCCGAAGAGGAAATCTTAACAAATATCTTAAAATGTTTTGAAGAAATGAAAATGAAAACAGATCCACATCGATGGGATGCACTGAAGCAGTGCTTTGAGGGAAACTGTAGCATCGAACGGATATATTAGTAAAGGGAAAGCCCGCAAGTCAATAACCTAAGCTTCTAAACCTCAGGAAACTAGAAAAAGAAGAGAGAACGAAGTCCAAAGAAAGCACAAGAGAAATAATAAGAGCAGAACTCAATGAGACTGAAACAGGAAATCCTTAGAGAAAAATCGATGCAACCAAAAGCCGGCTCCTTGAAAAGCCCAGTAACATCACTAAGCCTCCAGCCAGGGTGACTACCAAAGAGACGACACTAATTCCTAACGTCAGGAATGAAAACCCCACATTCCCTGGAACTACCTCCACCCCCAGCAACAGTGCAACAGATGAGCAAGGTGCTTCCGCTCAGCAGGGCGTTCGTGACCTTCACGTTGGTTCATTCCCCAGACTTGTAAAGGATGTCTGTCTCTGCTCCCCACTGCACAGTGAGAGAATGGGGGCCCAGGGGCTGCATTACTGGTGAACACTCAGAGGCACAGCTGCTCCCCCAGCTTCCCTGGGAGAGGAATGGTCACTCTGCCCGCGAAGCACGGGGTACACGGTAGGCCCTCGGCACATGCTAACCAGCAGCTGTGACTTCAGATCCACCTGGGACTCGAAAACAGTGGGGACAAGCTCACTCAAAGTGCCGGCCAGGTGGGGAGTGGGGCTACAGCAAAGGGGCAGGAGGGCAAGTCTTGGGGGCAAAGGGGCCAAGCGGAGGAAGCTGCGTGAGGCAGAGAGGCCACCAGGGGGCAGCACCGCCCCAGTCTGGCCACCCACCTCAGGGCTTTCATGGGATCACAGTGGGGCCTCCCTGGCTCTAAATCCCAGTCCGGCCACTGTGGGCTCCCAGAAGCACCACAGAAGGCTTTACATCATTTCTCCCCACTGTCCTTGAACCTGCCCTGCAGGCAGAAGTTTCAATCCGTCACAGAGGTGACGAAAGAGGCTGAGAGACACAAAGTCCTTCGAGGTCCCCTGCTTCAACCCAGCCAGGTCTCAGCTAAAATCCTTCCAAATCCCAGCAGCAGGCCCGGCACCCTGCTTGGCTGCCAGGACGACCACCAGCTCGTGCCCAGTGCAGTCCCTCGACCCTCAGACCTCCTCATTCATCAGGCCCTTCCTTGCTCCGGGAATATTCACTGGCTGCCCTGGACCCTAGGACCAAACTCGCAGACCCTAATTTAGGATACCCACGTGCACGGGGGGATGCAGAACAATGAACAGGACCTCGGGGCGGTCAGACGTGGGTGAGCCCCGGCCTCGTTAGCTCTGGGCAGACGAGGGCTCATTTCCCACCCGTAAAATGGGGCGGTGACGGGATGCAGTAGTTTGCAAAAGGCCCTGTTTGCGGTAACGGCTGTTGGTGGCCCATCAGATCCCCTGCTGTCTTGGGCAGGCCACTCATCCCCAGCTTGCGGCTGCCCCCTTCCCAAAGCTGCTCTGGCCGGTAAGAGCCATCCGCACCAGAAACATCTGGAACCATTGCGGGGGGGGGGGGGTGACCAACAGCCCCTGCCCACGAGGGACAACTCTGGGCCCCTTCACACTCCTGGGCTCCCCACGGGATGAGGCTGAGGCCCACTTCTCGTTAAATCCCATCTTCCCCCAACACCTTCTGGGCTTGTTCTGCTTCCCTCTCTCCTTCCGGGTTTCTCCTGAGAGTCTCTCCATCGACAAGTCACATGGAACCAGATCCTCGCCTCAGGCTCTGCCTCTGGGGAGCCCAGCCTTGTGACCGGGGATGCTTCTGCCACAGGAGGGCGCAGTGGCCCCCTCGGGGCCCCACGCACCTGCAGCACCAGCAGCATCTGCACGATGGCAGGGGGCACGCGGGCGTGGGTGCGGGCCAGCGCATCCTCCAGCTTCACGCTCAGGGTGATGGCGTTCCGGAAGTGCAGCAGGGCCAGCTGGCGCACGGACGGCTCCTTGCCCTGCAGACACAGAAGGCCGCGCCCCGCCCCGCTGCCGTCACGCGAAACCCCCGCTTCCCTCCACATCAGACGATCTGGGACCAGATCCCGGGTATATGGCCTCACACACAGACCATCGGGACCCCTTCCGCCCCGTCCTCCTCCCTGGATGACCCCTGTCCCAAGGAGAGGCCCCAGTCAGCTTCCTCAGGCAAGGAAAGGGTTACTGTCACAAACCGAGCCGTGTGTGCTGGGCAGGGCCTACTATGTGCTGCCCAGGGCTATTTATAGGGCCTGTAGGAGGGAACTGTCCTTAGTTCCAAATTGTGGGTGGGAAAGCAGTTCTGAGAGGTCCGGGACGTGCCTATCCCCAGGCCGGGGGCAGCATGCAGCAAGGCTGGGACGGGCGGTCGCCTGGGCCCCAGGGGTCCCACGGCTGCAGGGGCCGTTCACCTGCACCGGGTAGAAAATGGCCTGCAGCGTGGGCAGCACGTCACTGAAGAAAAAGTCCCACGTCTCCGCCAGTGAGTCCAGCAGCTTCTGTCCTGTGGGCACAGACAGCCATCACTGCTCACCAGCCCCCAGGCCGGAGTCCTCTCTTCCGTCTGCAGGAAGACACGGGAGCTGAGGGCTGGGCTCCGGGCCCTGGAGGCGCCCCCCTGACCCCAGGTTGACAGCACGCAGCACTTAGCAGCTCTGTGGTCGGGGGTCCATGGTGTAGTCTCCCTGTGCCTCCGCTTCGCCACTAATAAAACAGGACAGTGCGAGGGCCGACCTCCCAGGGCTGCGGGGCTGAAACGAGCGGAGACGGGGTCCAGGGCAGAGGACGAGCTCGTAAGCACTGGCTGCTGGTTCCCACTCCTTCATCCCACACCAGACCCGCACAGGAACGCCCCCCGTGCCTGAGGGCAGTTGCCGCACACGCCCGTCTCCTCCAATTCCCGTGGTGACAGCCCCCCCGCCACCAGCAGGCGGGGAATCTGTCCACCCCTGTAGGCGTTTGCAGAGCACCTTCACTGGGCACCGGGGACCCCGTGGAGCCTCCAAGATCCCCAGGGAAGCAGGACCCTGAATGGCAACTATAAGCACAGTCATCGTCCCATTGAAGGGGTGACCTCAGTGGGCAGACCAAGAAACAGAGCCTCTGAGAGGTTCAGGTCCTTTTCCTCCAGGGCCCTGGTCCCCGCCACCCTGGGCTGCCTGGGGTGGGATCTGGGGAGCCAGGGAGGCCACGTCCAAGAACAGCATGTCCCAGGTAGGGAAGGGAAGCAGAAAAAGCGGAGAGGATCAGGCCGGGAGGGCTTCCTGGAGGAGGCGCTCCCCAAGCTGATTTAGGACGCTGGGTTCGCCAGGTTGATGGGACATCCTCAGTGCGGAATCCACACAAGTAGATGTGTGAAAAGCAGCCATTTGGTCAAGCTCTGGGTTATTTCTGCCAGCCCTGCAGAAGGAGCATGCCATCCTCAGGGTGGGCAGCCCCTGAGGGATGAGGACAGATGAGGTGTCCCCGAGCCGGGTCGGGGCTCCCCCAGGAAATGCAAAGTGCTGAACCTTCAGCCCTTCTGCCTGGAATGAAAGCTGCTGTGTCTGGGATAAGCAGGCCCCAGGACGTGTCGCCCAAGGCCTCTGCTGCTCGGTGGGACCCCCCACCTGGAAGTCAGACTAAGGACTGGTGGAGAAAACCTGGGTGTGCTCGGGGTCTCTGGGTGAGGAGGGTGAAGTGCCACATGCTGGCCGGCGTCCCAGACTATACTGCCCGGGTGAGACTGCCTCGAGGTTTCCATGGGAACCAGGGAGCCGGACAAAGGCCTTCACCTCTTCTTACTTCCATGGGCTCTGGGCCCCACACTTTCCCTGCCCATTAAGGCCCAAGTCTGTGTAGGTTCGGGGGCTCTGGGAGGGGAGCCTGCTGGGGGCGTCCCCAGGAAGCCCATCCAGCCCAGCGGGTGGCCAGGGTGCTGTGGCCTCTGAGCGTGGCCAATCGGCCGGCACTGGGGCTCTCTGCCCGGCAGCCAGCTCCCGACCCTCCCTGGGGGCCCACACCTAGCTCTGCAGAACCCAGGATGGGTGGGTGCCGCCGCCCGCGGGGCTCGGCCTGTACAAAGGTCGCTTCAGGTCCCCACCGTCCCCGGTAAGAAGAAAGGCGGCTCAGTTCCCTGGGCTGGCCGTGGGGTGGCTCTGGGCACGGGCCAGGCAGGCGTCCGCAGGCTGCTCTCCAGCCCACGGGGCGGAAATGCTGTGGAAAGCAGATGTTGTAAAACACTGCCTCGAGGCCCCATCTGAACTGCACGCTGACCGAGAGGCCAGGAAGCACGGCCGCGCCCACCGGCCAAGTTCTCTGCTGGGGCCCGTGGTCTGGGGCTGCAGGCGAGGTGGGTGGCAGGGCTGTCGGAGGTGACAGTGTCAGGACCCCCGGGGAGTCCGGCAACCAGAGCCTCAGTGTGATCCTCCGTAAGATGGGTGTGAACACCCTCGTGCGCACGGGGCGGAAGGTTGCCACGTAGCAAGTGCTCACGAAGTGTCGGCTGGGGGCATGGCCACCGGCGGAAGCTCAGCAGAACCCAGGTTCTCCCCTGGTGGGCGGGTCCGTCTTCCTCTTTCAGTCCTGCTGAGGGCCCGGGAGACTGGAGCGCACCAGGCTGATCTTGGCTCGGGTCTCAACCCCGTGATGACCACAGGGCAGTGGAAAAGGCCACAGCAGGAGCTCCGAGGAGGAGAGCTAGCCAGGAGGACGGCCTGGTGGAGTCAGGCCCACGGGCCAGTGTGTCAAGGCCACTGGGGAGTTTGGCCGGATGGCCTGTAACAGCCTGGGATTCCTGCTGGACAAGAGAGGGCTGAGCCCAGGGCCTGGAGCCTGCAGGAGCCCCTGAGCTCCTCCCTGGAGTCCTCGGGTCTCTGGCCGCTGAGGAGTCATCCTGGCGGCAGCCGGAGCCCACTCCTGTAAGCCAGGCCTGGAGACCACGGAACCACAGCCTTAGGCGTGGTCCGGGAGGGAGACTCCATGTCAAGGCTGTCCCTCCAGGCCTCCTGTTTCCAGGAATCGCTGTGCTTGGGAGCTGATGTCCAAGGCCTGGCTGGAGGCTGGAGGCTGCAGGGAGGGACGGGCGGCAAGGTCCTGGGGCTGGCCTACATGAGGCCACCCACTACCCTCCAGCAGAGGCACAGGTGAGGACGTGGCTGGCCACAGGGAGCAGTCTCAAGGAAGAGCTGCCCTGGGAGCCAAACCGGGGCAGGAGGTGGATGGGAAGGCTCCAAAGGCCACCCCTCAGGGTGTGGCATCAGCGACTGTCCCCCCAGCATGGACTGAAGGGGGCCGAACGGGGCCGAACGTCTTCCCGGACAGACCACATTCTGAGGCCTGACTCAAGGACCACTGCTTCCATGGAGTCCTCCCTGACTGCCAAGATGGAACTAACCCTTCCTTCCCCGGGGCTTCCTTTCACCCTGACGTTCATCACCCTGAATTGTCACTGTCTGGTCCACGTCTGTGTCCCCAACTGGACTGTCAGCCCCTGCTAGGCAGGGCTGGATCTCCTCCATCTCCAGGCCCCCCGAGGCTAGCTGGGGCCTGACCCAGAGTGAGCACACGGGTGGAGCCCATCCAACCCCATGGTTCTAAGATTGGGACACTGAGGCTGAGGTCTGTGGCTGGATGGGAACTGGAGGCCAGGGCCCATGGCCCCCAGACTGGGGCTCCGTGCCTGTCCCCGAGGCCTGGGGAGGATGGACGGGGCTGGCACTCCCCACTGGGTGGCCTGGCGGACACGGCCGCTGCAGGCAGGGCTCGACTAAGCTGCACAAAGCTGCTCTTCTCTGAAGCTCCCAGCTCCCCTGGGCTGGAGCCGGTGGGAGGCAGAGGCACTGTTGGAATGTGCCGAGTAAGGAGAGGGGCGTGGGAGGGCATCTCCGCCAGGTGCCAGATCCTCACCGCCCTGACTGCTGGACTCCGTTGCCGCCTCCTCCAGGAAGTCAGCCTCGACCCCTGGCAGTCTGTGCCTCTCCCTCCCCTTGACTGTGCTTCTGGTGGCCCTTCCCAGGCTCCTGCCTCAGAGCTTCCCCCCCGACAGAAGCGGGAGACACAGAAAGAGCAGGGGACACGCAGCTGAGTTCATCCAGAGCACACTAGGCCACTGGCCTCAGTGTCCTCTTCTGGGAAATGGGCTAACACCCCTTCTCTGTAGGATCAGAGGAAGGATCCAAGGAAGAACCGAAGCGGCAGTGGAACCAGGCTGCCACACAGGGTCGTGTGGCCCTGGTGCCTCAGTTTCCCTGTATGTGCAGTGGCTGCAGTGATGTCTCTTGTGCAGGGTTGCTGGGAGAGCCCTGAGTTAGGAGCCGGAGAACACTCAGGACGGTCTAGCAGAGAGTAAGCAAGTGCCCAGGGCCTGGTGCATAGGAGACGCTCAACCAATGTTCACAGAGCCAGAACTCAGCACAGGGCCTGGCACAAAGCAGGCCTTAGCAAAGGCACTGTGGTTTGAGCTGGGCCCTCCCGTAATTTGAGCTTTCTCTCTGCCGATTCACTCCTACAAGGAGACAACATTTCGGCTGCTGCTCCCTGGCGCTGGAACTTGTGGGCCTCCGGAAGGGCCAAGGGCGTGGGCGCTGGGGCCAGGCTGGCCCGGGCTCGAACGCACCCCCACCCTCTACTCACAGTGTGGCTGCAGACAAATCGCCTGCCATCATTACGCTGCTCCCAGCTACGAAATGGGCACAGGGACCTGAAGGCCTCATGGGTGGGTAGGAGCATTAAAAGAGAAAACCCGTCTAGGAGGTCCAGCACCAGGCTCAGGCCCCAAACTCCTTCCAGCCAGGGGGCAGTCCCTGGCTCCCACCTCCTCCTTCAGGAACATCAGGGCAACAATAGGTCCTCAAAGGTCCTGTCCGGGGTTCTCCCAAGATGCTGAGATGGGGTGCCCTGGCACGAGAAGGCCCCAGGAGCAGTGAGGGGAAGCAGGGCCTTTTCCCTGATTTCTCAGCCCTCTCGGGCCCCAGCAAGCTGCAGGGTGGGGGTGGGGGAGCAGATGCTCTCCCGACTAAGGTCCCTTCCTGGGGTAAGATCTTGGCCTTGCTGCCCCTGCCGCCCTCCCACCCGGAGCCCTGGGGACACAGGCAAGGCTGGGAGGGCCACACGTCCCAGCAGGGACACCGGCATGCGGCGCGTCCCCACACTCGGTCCCAGCTGCGGGGTCGCCACACTCACCCTCATAGAAGCGGATCTTGTCCCGCAGGATCACCATGCCTTTCGTCAGCAGCTGGTTCTGAAAAGCACACACAGGCAAGCCGTTACTGCTGCGGGGGGTGCCCGGGCCGGCAAGGCCCCCGGGAGTCCCTCCCAAGCCGGCAGCCGAGGCCCGGGGCAGGGGCTCTTACCCATGCCCCCCTCCACCCCCCAGCCTGTTCCCGGTAGAGCTTGAACCTCAGCTCGCCCTGGGAGGAGAGCGACGGCCCCTCGGAGACAAGCCGAGTAGGGCAGGTGGCCACCTTCGCAGTCCCCGATGGAGGAAGGCCTTTCAAGCAAGAGGGGCCCCCTGCCTCAAGTCCTGGCGTGTGAACCTTGACGCCCCAAGCGCGGGGGTCATGCTGTCACGCTGCCCCAGGCGTCTGGGCTGAGAATGACACCTGGTGGTCTCAGCACCGCCACCAGCAGCCAAAAGGTAGAAACGTCCCAGCGTCCCCCACGGGTGGACAGACACAGCGGGTGTCTCTGGACAGTGGAATTTCACATGGCTGCAAAAAAGGAGCGAAGTGCGGACTGACCCAGGAATTAGCGGTGTCAGGACACTGAAGGCCCCCGAACCATGCACTTTAAACCGTGCATGTGAGTTCCGCCAACCCCGACCCCGCGTGAGGGGAGGCTGCTCCGCCGGCCAGGTGGGCCCTTGCTCGAAGCCCAGCCCCGCTGCTGCTCCCCACCCTTCCTTCCTGGCCGTGTGCCCCGGGCCTGTGGTTCCGTGTGTGCGTGGACTCTTCAGGCTTGCTGGCCCGAGGAGGTGTGACAAATGCAAAGTAAGGCACAGAGCGGCCTCTCAATGCTGACGCCAGGCCAACGGCGTCACCGTGTGGCTCAGGGCACTGGGGTCGTGCAGTGATGTACACGTGGACGTCCGGGAGCCCACCCTGTATTCCAGGAGGTGAACGGCCCTGAACAAAGCCAGCCCTGCGTCCTGCCACGTGCCGGGGTTCGCAGAGCGCGAAGACTTCACCCGCATCGTTATCATTAACCTGCACAACGGCCACGCTGGCTAGACGGGGAAACTGAGTCATGGTGGTGTGGCAGTCCTTGGAACCTAGTGCTCCGTGTACCCATGGAGAGTAGGTGACCCCTGTCCTTTCTGGCCAGCTCAGAAAGCAACCCCAGCCCGCTCAAGAGCACAGACCACCCACCTGCAGGTACTCGGTGAAGAAGGACCCCAGCTCTGTCTTCAGCAGCTGCCTGTGGGTGGGAGGAGACAGGACAGTGAGGGACAGCAGGGCTCAGAGACCACGCGGTGCTGACGGGGGGGGGGGGTCACCGGTGCAGCTGGGAGGCCGACCCGCTCAGCCCGGGGCGAAGGGTGGGCACACCCCCGTCAGCCCCGTCCCAGCAGGGGGCCGGGGGCAGGGAGGGGGCGGGGTGGGCCTCGGGCCCCCGTCCTGTTCAGCTGTGGCTCTGTAGGCCCCCACCACCATTTCACACAAGCAGAAGTGGAAGGCTCCCCACAGCGAGAGTGAGGGCCACAGGCATCTGTCACGTTCTCAGGGAGACACCGGCAGTGCTGGGCCTCTAACCCTCTGCTCCCCGCCCCGCCACCCCACCCCAAGCAGGGAGCACGGCTCCCGAGGGCATCTTCACGGCCCTCCTGTACTCCGTCAACCGAGCAGCAGGTGCTCATTCTGGCTCCCTTCTACAAGCGAGGCAAGGAAGGCTCAGAGAGGTCCAGTGACTTGTCCAAGGCCACACAGGACACAGCAAGTCAGGGTCTGAACCCCGTCCTTTGTACTCAGGTTGACAGCTCTTTGCACCGCACACCTCTGGGGGCCGAGAGAAGGGTGGGCATCCTGGTCCAGACCGGAGACACTTGGGCACTGTCAACGTTCGGCCCAACACTCGACCTCCCCCGCTCTCATCTCGGTCAGCCTTGGAGCTGTTGTGTGTGTGTGTGGGTGCGCGCGTGCATGCGTGCACACTCGGGGAGCACTGACCTCACCACCCCCATACCCGCGAAGAGGGTGCCCTGGTCCTCAAAGGCCTTTTAAGGGTGGCTACGCTCTACCTTCCTGGTGCTGAAAGCGGGCATCCCAGGACCGGCTGTCCCCACGGGGGATGGGGGCCTGGGGGCGAAGTGAAGCAGAGAGAGGGCAGGCGGGTTGTGTGAGGTGACCAGCACCCCAGGAGCTGAGCGGCAGGCATCCCTGGAACCCGGGGCTTCGGGCAGGATCTGGAAGGTGCAGAGAAGATGGAGCGGGGAGATGAAGAGGGCCACGTTTCCTGAGCAGCTCTCAGGGGCCACGGCCACGCCAGGCCAGTCACAGACTTGAGGCTCACGACAGCCTGACAGGTGGTCCTGGTGTCCCTGGATGGGATGAGTGAGGACCTTCGGCTGTCTGGTGGCAGCCCCGACCGGGGCCCTGTCCCCAACCCCTGGCCGGCAGCTTCTCTTAGCACAGGACCAATCCCACGTCACCACCCGACGCCATCCCCGTGTAACTGTGAGGTTAACGGGGGCGACACTCACCAGGCTGAGCTCCACCTGGGACAGCGAGGGGGTGTGAAGCCAGCGGCCCCCTGTGGTCAGCCCCCTGCCACAGTCCCTCCACCTTCTCCCAATCATCTGCGCCTCCAAGGACCAAACATGACCTCAGCTCCTGTGTGACCCCATGTCCAAGCTCAGTGTCTATCTCAAGGTCACCACACGCATGACACAAGGCGCCACTCTGGGCAAGGCCAGAGAGCAAAAGGCAAGGAGGGAGGGTCTTCTCTTAGGCCAGGGCTGAGTCTGGGTGAGTCCCCTCAGCCCGTGAGGGGCCAGAGAGCCAGCCCCAACGCCGCCAGTCCACTGTGTGACGCTGGGCAAGTCCCCTCCCCTGCCTGAGCTCCAGCACCCTCATCTGGGGTCTGAGACATGCCAGAAGGTGGAGGAGGAGGGTCTGGGGTGTCAAGTGAGACCATGGCTTACACTTGGTATATACAGCAGGTGCTCAGTAAAGCCCTCCTCACCTTCTCCCTGGCCCGTCGTCAGTGACAGTGAGTATGAACATGAATGAATGAATGAATGAATGAATGAATGAATGAATGAATGAATGACTGTCTCCTTCAGGGCCTAGCAGACCCTCTGCCCCATTGCTGGCTGCCCGGGGTCTCCCCTTACCTCCTAACATTTCCTCTTAACTCACTACATGAGCCCCTGAGCAAGGGCGAGGGGCATGGCCAGACAAGCATCCCCCAATTTGTGCTGTGCCCACCGGCTCTCCCAGCTGCCGATGAGAGGAACCATGCTCATTCCACAGATGTGGAGACTGAGGCCCTGGGGGGCGAGTGGTGAGGTCCCTGTGGGGCCTGCTGGTTAGCTTACTCCCATATCCTCAGTGGAGCCTCCAGGCCAGCCTATGCACCCCGGGACACCACCTGGGGAAGGCACTGCAAGGGGAACAGCCCGGGTGTCATCTGAGGGGAGAAGGACAGCCACAGAAAGGGGGTGGGGGGGCAGAGACCGAGGCCAGGGCCACCCTCTCCAGATGGGCCTGCTGGCTCCTGGGCGCTACAGGGCCAGTGGGACATCGGGCTGGAGCTGGGGCACGGCCCGATAATCTGCATCCCAGCCAGAGCCCAGGAGGCAGGAGAAGGGGCCTCTCAGGAGCAGAGCAGGTGGCCGAGCTCCTGCCCATAAGCTTCCAGATGATTCTCCTGGCCCGAGGCAGACACCCTGGCAGCAGCTGCAGGGTCAAGACAGGCCCGAGAACACAGAGCAGCCTGGACCACTGGGCACGGGGCAAGAGGCCTTTCACAGCTGAGCACAACTAGGGCATCCTGGGGCCTGATTCTGTTTAAGAAGGTGGGGTGCATGAGGAGTCCTTCAGGGGCAATGACATCTGAAACGGGGTAAAGAGGTGTCCTCTGCAACCCAGAGTGACTTAGTCTCTATCTGGGAAAACTACTATGCCAAGTGTGTCTGTTTGGGGGCCTTAGGAGAAGGTGGTCGAGAGAGAGAGAGGCGAGACCAGCAGCCCGGACGTCATCAAAATCAAACCTTCGTGCTTCGGAGAACACTGCCGGAAACGCCAAGAGACAACCCACGGATGGTAGAGCAGCTGTGCAAATCAGAACCTGGTAAGGGTCTAGATCCAGAATATATGAAGAACTCCCGCGACTCAACAAGGAAGAGGTAAGTCATCCCATTTAAAAATGGGCCAAGTAGACATTTCCCCGAAGATGATATACAGATGGCCAATGAGCCCGTGAAAAGATGTTCCTGTCATAGTCATCAGGGAACTGCAAACCCCAACCACGAGACGGCACTCACACCCACAGTGCTGTCAGATACAAAACCCCAAGAGTAGCAAGTGCCAGTAAGAAGCTGGCGGAACTGGCCGCTCAGACGCAGCTAGTGGGAAGGGAGGCTGGGGCAGCTGCTGTGCACACCCCACGTGTGGCCCCAGGAGAAACCACACATACACACGTCCGCACAAAGCCCTGCACCGCACGTTCAGGGCCGTACGCGTTACAGCCCCGGGGGGGGGGCGGCGGCCCAGACGTCTAGCAGCAGGTGAACGGATACACGGGATGTGGTTTCCCTAGCGTGGAATATTACTTGGCCACGAGAAGGAATGAAGTGAGGGCACAGGCTCCAAAGCAGATGGCCCTTGAAGGTGTCACGGATGCAGCCGGACACCGAAGGCCACGGGCATGTCGGCTGATGACATGTACGAGAAACGTCCAGAAGAGGCAAATCATACAGAGACAGACACCTGATTGGCATCTGTCAAGGGCTGGGGGAGGAGGGATGGGGAGTGACTGTTAATGGGGACGGGCTTTTATGGGGGGGGGCGGGAGTGGGTGACAATGTTCCGGAATCAGATAGTGGTGAAGACTGCACAACTCTGTGATTATGCCAAAAACCACCGAACCCGTATGTTTGAAGACTGGATTGTATGTCCTTGTATACACATATGTATATAAAAATGGGAAAGAAAGGGTGACGGCCAGACATCAGGATCCTGTGACTACTCACCTCCCTGGACTTAGCCTTGCCTGAGCCCAGCCGAGGAGCACCCCCAACCGCCCGTCTCACCAGCCGGCCCCGAGAACCGAGGGGAACATTAGAGTGACAGCGCCATCAATGGCTCCTGTCACCGGGCTCTCTCGTGGGATCAAGGCTAATCCAGTGATGGATTCACGCATAATTATGGGTATCACGCGTAATTAAAGTCACTCGATTTAATGTGGCCAAGTGATAGAGAAGAGGGGGCGGGGGCCGGGCAGGGGGCTGTCCCGAGGGACCCACAAGGCCTGGGGTCAGGAACCCAAGTCCCAGCTCCACTGACCAGCCCTGTGAGCACACGCAGCATGTGACCTCTGCCTCAGTTCCTTAATCTGTAAAATGGGAGCCCGAGAAAAGCAAGGCCCCCTGGGCGGGTGACACGCAGGGGGCCCAGGAGAGGCAACGAGCTCCTGCTCCGTGACTTCAGCTGCCCCTCCCCCTCCCTGGGCCTCAGTCTACCTGTCGGTAAGGCCCCTCTCAGCTCTGCCGCACTGGGCTGGGGGGCCCTGCAGGAAAATGATCCCTGTCTCCATCACCTTGTTTCACCCTGAGCTGATGAGCGAGGCTGCCTACTTTTCCCAGATACTGACACAGGGACAGGGTAGCATGGGCCAGGGCGGGAAGGCAACAGCACACAGGTAGGAAATGCCTTCTTGAGGCAGCTGTGTGACCCCGGGCAAGTGTCTTGACCTCTCTGAGCTCCAGCCCCCTCCACTGCAAAGCAGGACTAACGGGCTGGCCCTGCAGATTCCCTCCGAATGACAGATGGCACCCGGCTCACAGTGGCAGCTTGGAGGGGCTGGTCTGTCCTGGGCTCCCTCACCAGTGCTCACTGCTTGGCCATCCACAGGAAATGAGGGGCGTTCGGCCGGGCTGTAACTGCCTTTCCGGGAACGACACTCCCGTCATTAGGCAGGTGGGTCCTTCCTCTTTAACGGAATAATATCCTTCATGATGTTCCACACCAGCGGGGAATGTGGGCGTTATCTCAAGCCCCTGTCCAAGTCCTACCCTGCTTCCCCCGAGGAGAAAGTGCTCAGGATGGGTGGGGGTGAAGGCCCACCAGGCCCGAGAGCCACATGACCAGGGCCCGCAGTCAAGGTCCACGCGTGGCCCTGTGGTCACTGCCCGCTGCGGCTGTAAGGGCGGCACCTCAGGTGCGGCTGGGGGAGCAGGGCCTGGCTGTACCTCCGCCCTGACACAGCCTTCCCTGCCAGTCTCGGGCCCAGGACAGGACGCGTGGCCACTCACCGGACGCCCTCGTTGAGGCTGAAGAGTTCCTGGTCAGGCAGCCCCTTGCGCTGGAAGACAGCGATGACCCCGTTGTGGATGCTGCAGGCGGGAGAAAGAAGAGTGTCGTCGAGGCCCCGCCACCCCTCTCTGGAGCAGCCCACCCTGCTCGGCTGGAGGAACAGAAGTGGGCCTGGTCAGGGGCGCCCGGGCGGCTCAGTCGTTAAGCGTCTGCCTTCGGCTCAGGTCACGGTCCCGGGGTCCTGGGACCGAGCCCCGCGTCGGGCTCCCTGCTCAGTGGGAAGCCTGCCTCTCCCTCTCCCCAACTTGTGTTCCCTCTCTCGCTGTGTTTCTCTCTGTCAAATAAATAAATAAAATCTTAAAAAAAAAAAAAAAGAAGGGGGCCTGGTCAGAAGCAGGTGCCCGTCTTTTCTCTTATAAGCAGGGGTTGGCTGTCCTCATGAACCCTGTCCACACCAGAGCCTCAGTTCCCATCTTGACCCCAAGATCCTGCACCCCTAGCCCCAGCCTCCCCCAAGCCTGAGTCACCTCTCCAGGACGTCTTCTGCGGCCTGCACACACTCTGCTCCCCTTCCCTTGTTCCTGAACCCTCTTTCCCCAAGGATACCTTTGATCACCTGTCGCACCCTGTAACATATCCCAACCCGACACCTACCGGGGGCTTCCAGGTGCCCCTGAGCCAGCCCCTCCTGACCCCTGGTGTCCCTGAGCACTGAATGCTTGTGTTACGGGCCCCACTGGGGAAGCGGCCTCCAGCCACAGGGCTTTTGCATGTGCCCTTTCTGCTGGTTGGTCCTCTCCTACTACTTCCACTATCTGCTCCCTTTAGATCACATGTTGTTGCCAGCGTTTACAGACTGGTCACTGTGTAACCACGTATTTCTGTGTGATTTGATTAAATTGTTTCTATCACTGTCTATAAACCCCAAGAGCATAGAGCCCCAAGCAAAATTCATCCTTGACTCTCCCTCACCCTCCAAAGCCAAAGTTCCTGAAGTCAGATCCACTTCTACCTCCTGGAGCTCCGCTGCACCCCTCCCCTCCCTTCTAGCCAGGGCCCCTCCTTGTATGCCTGGACCTGATTACACCAGCCCCCCCCCGTCACTTCCCCGACCAGGGTCTTGTGAGGCATCCACTGCCCTGCAGATATAGCCCAAGGCCCGGACATGGCATTCGAGGCTTGTCAGGAATGGCCCCTCCCTGCATGCCGGGGCATCCTACACTCGAGTCTCAGAGTTGCTGGACGGGCCAGAGGCTACCACACCTCTGGGTCTCTGCACCCACTGCCCCTTCTGCCGGCCCGGACCTTCCCTTCCCTGAACACGAGGTAAGCATACTGAAGACTGAGCTCAGAAGCCACTTCCTCCAAGAAGCCCTCCTGACCCCCTCCCTTCCCCAGGAAGACTCCTATCCTGGCACTTTGCCGATTTACTTTCCTATTAGCACCCCACCCTCGCTCAGCCACACACTCCTGAGGGCGAGAACCGGGTCTGGGTGGCTCCACCGCCCTCCGTCTAGGCCCCGGTCACTGCTCTAAAGCTCACAGACCTGCTGCCGTGATTCTCAGCGTGGAGGGGACAGCTGGACACACGCTGCCGTTCACATCGCAGACCAGGTAGCAGCCACCAAGCTCCTGGTGCCCTTGTCCGTTGGCATTAGCTCCATGCTTCCCAGGAATGCAGACTGGCCCCCCACTTCGCAGATGGGGACACAGAGGCTCACAGAAGCCACGTCCCCCTGGGAGGGCACAGAGCTGCTCACCCAACAGCTGCCCCCCGTCCCCATGCAGCCGGGTCTGGGCAGGGCTCGCGCAGGGCCCTGCGCCCCCGGGGGGCATGAGCCGTGCGGGGCCACATCCAAAGTCCACGGCTGGTCCCCGCCAGGACCGAGGCCGAGACCAGCTCCACCGGGAATTACCAGCCTCTCAACAAGTGCTGGCCGAGACCGCGTGGGACACCAGGCACTTGACCTGGGGCGCCCGACCGCTCCGGGCCTGGCATCAGAATGCCACTGGCTTGCGTGTCCAAGACACACGTCCTCCAACTTGTTTCCCCCAACCCTGGGCCGCTGTGAGGATGAAATGCCCGGCCAGAGCCTCGCTCACCCCCGTTGGAAGTCCCTGGTGGACCCAGCCCCACCACTGTGTCCCCGGAAGGCTGCTCCCCATCTACAGCTAGAAGAGAGAAAAATCGGCCAGGAAGCCTAACGGTCGCTGGGAACCCAGTGGTCCTCCAGTGCTGCCACGCTGGAATCCGCTCCCGGCCCAGCAGGGGCTGCTGGGGGGCCGGAGGCGCACGGCAGTCCTGGGCACCGCCCTGGGACCCGGGGGCCCAGCTGCTCCTGAGGTGCAGAGAGGACCAAGGACCCCGAGGCGGGGAGGAAGCCAGCGCAGGCCGAGCCCGGGGCAGCCTCTTGTGCTCGTCACACACACCTGCTCCTAGCAGCCTCTCCCTGGCCTTCCTCCTCTTCCTGTCAGCCTTCTGGAGGGACCCCAGCCCAGGGGTGACCCTGCACGCAGTGGCTTTGGACGGTGAGGCCGGCTCTCTGAATGCTGTCCCTCCCCCTGTAGGCTCGCCCTCCACCTGCCCCGTGGACCTCAAACCCTCCTCCAATCCCCCCAGGTTGGGTCCCTCCTCCCTCACACTGGTGTTGTGGAAAAAAAATTGACCTCAGTGGTCTTTTAGGGGAGAGGAGGTCTATCTGCTTGACTCTTCTGCCCCCGTCCCTGACCCCCAGGCTCAGGCTGGTGCTGCACCCAGCGCATCAGCCAGTGAGGGAGTTTATCACCGCCCTCCCCCCTTGCGTCTCTCAACACCTGTATCTGAGCAGCCCCCGGCCCAGCCCAGGGGGTCACCCTGAGACCCGCCGTTCCCTCTCCGCCCACTGTGAACGCTGGCCACCTGGGCTTCGGCTTCCCCATCCACACCATGGATTCGGAACTCCAGCGCCCAAAGGAGACCGTGCCTGGGCAGTGGCGTGCCCCGCGGGGGACACTTGCTGGGGCATCTTCGGCAGTGACTCTGAGGACAGGTGTGTCCCCAGAAGCCCCCACCACAGCTCAACCATCCGCTCTGTGGTTTTCTCAGCCTCTCCCTTCTAACCACCACACGGGGGGCCTGTCACACCCCAGGCTATGGAAGGAAACGAGGAGGGTCTGGCGAGCCAAGGGACTGCCCAGAGTCACACGAGCGTGACACCCAGCAGAGCCAGCGAGCCCGGCCCCCGGTCCTCCTACCCCGGTGCGCCGGCTTGGAAACCGCCTCCCGCGCTGCCCCAAGCCGGACGGGCCCTCCTCCTTCCATTCCTCTGCAGCTAGGGGCTGAGGTTCCCTTTCTAGCCCAAGTCCAAGTTGGGCAAACAAACAAAAAAAACCTTGCTGCGAGCCACTTGGGGAGAGGAAGGGTGGGGAACGAGAAGCCCTCATGTGACTTATCTTCCCTCCAAGATAGAAGTGAAACCCCAGCCACCCCGGTCTGTGGCCTCCTGACCAGAGGTGGGCAGGCCCAGAGCGGGCACTGGCAGATGCTCCTGTGCAGACCACAGGCAGCCTCCGAGGGCACTTCCGGGTGAGACCCATGGCCGCCCCCCACTGGGCAGTCCTTTGTGGAGCCTGTCCCCCTGCCCAGTGCAGGACAGGAGGGCAGGGCCGAGTCCCAGCATCTCTTGCCTGGGCCCTGGGTGGGCCTGGGGTGAAGGGGCAGAAGGTGCTGGAGCCCTGGTGAGGCTCCCGGGTGCCCCTGGAGAGTGCATGGCCCAGGAAGGGGGTGGGGCAGAGCCAAACTGGGAGAGGGAGGGCTGACTGTAGGGCTCCTGGGGCCACCTGCCTGTGGCCACCCTGGTTTGGGCTGGAGCCCACGTGGGGCTGCGGGCTGAAGGGGACCCCATGTGAGGGCCTCTCAGTGTCGCCCCCACCTGCCCAGACAGGAAGCCCCAGCAGAGAGCGAATGGCCGGCCTCTGGTCGGTTAGCTGATACACCTCCGTGGACCCCTGGAGAAAGTGAGGGCCCTGGCAGGGACCTGGAGGCAGAGCCCTGCCTTTCTCTGGTGCCTACCTCGATCTGGACATGGCCTCCAGAGGCCTCGGAGGACACCAGGTGACCCCAGAAGGCCGATCCAGACCCTGAGCAGGGTGGGCACCTCCTTGGGTGCCCTCCCACTGGTGTCCAGGCCTGGTGTGTCTCATCGGCCCCCGGCCTGCAGTCCGTGGCAAGGGATGGTCAAGTGAACGAGGAAGGGCAGAGGAGCTGGGCTCCACTGGGTCCCGCACAGGCCCCCCAGGCCCCTCCTCCTGCTGGCTGCCACCCCACTGACAGCCAAGGCTCTAGTCCTCCCTCTCCCCTGTCTATCCAAGGGTGACTGAATGGAGCCCCAGTGTCTTCCTTGGTACCTGGGGGTCATGCCGAGCCCCGAGAGATTAAGGGGGGGGCCACCTGGCTCTGCGCAAGCTGCCCCGGGAGCAGGGCCCACTGGCTTCCTCTTCACATCCAGGTGAAAGGTACAGGAGGTAGGCAACCTGGGAAGCCAACCGTGCCCCCGGGCCAGGCCCCGACGTGACCCTCTGGTAAATGGGGTGACAATGCCACTTCCAGCCGTGTCCACTTCATCCGCTCCTCAGCAAACAGGTCCCACTCACACCCTGGTTTCAGTCCACCTGGCTTCAGATGCTAGCCCCCAGCCCTAACAGGGTTCCTGGCTGAGCAGGAGGGGCCCGTGCCCACCTGCACTCCTCCCTGGGCACCTGGCAAGGGCCCTGACCCGCCGGACTGTGGAGGGCACAGTGGAGTGCCCATGTCCTTCAGTGGCTCCCCATTTCCCAGCTGTGAAGCAGGTTCTGGAGCCAGGATAGGGAGGGCTGCACACGGCCCTGAGCCCGGGCTAGGGTGTGAGAAGTGCTGGCCCAGAGCGCTCGGTGGTGCGGGGGGGGGGGGGGGAGGTGTACTGGCGTCAGAGACGCCACAAACATAGTGGCTTAAAACAACCCCGATGTGTTTGCTTACGTTTCTGAAGGCCAGAAGTTCTAAATCAGCTTCACGAGGCTAAGATCAAGGTGTTGGTGTGACTGGCTCCTTCTGGAGGCTCTAGGGGAGAATCTGTTTCCTGGCCTTTTCCAGCTTCTAGACGCGCCCAGGTGCTTGGCTCAGGCTCCTCCCCCCTCACGGGAAGCACTGTGGCACCTTGGATCTCTGCTTCCATCTGGCCACCTCCTCCCCTGCCCTGTCCCCCGGGACTCGCTCTTACGAAGACCCTTGTGACGACACTGGACCCCCATCTCGAGATCCTTCACTTAATCACACTCGCGAAGTCCCGTTTTGCCTTTAACATATTCTCAGGTTCTGGGGGGCCAGGGTGTGGACATTTTGGGGGGCCATTCCTCTGCGGACCACACCCAGACTGCCTCAGGGGGGCAGGAGGCTCAGGCCCCGGAGCGGCAAACAGGCAGGGGTGGGGTAGGGGGAGCCAAGCACAGGCCCCCAGCAGCCTCCAACCCCCACCCCCCAATCAACGGATCACCCTGGAGCCTTCAGCCAACCTCCTCCGGCCCCTCAAGAGACCCCCTCCTGAGGGGGCGGTAGACACGCAGGCTTCGGAGCTGGACCTGGGTTAGATCCTAGCGTCTGCCCTGACTCCCTGGGGAGACCTGGGCAGTTCCCAAACTCCTCTGAGCCTCAGTGTCCTCTCCTGCAAAATGGGGCCGATGAGCCCCACCTTGAGGGCCGCTGGGGAATAACAGGAGCACCGTCAGGCCTGCGGTTTGGTCAGGGCCCAGCACAGGTCAGCACTCTGAGTGCAGGGCTCCCGGATGCCCAGGATAGGGGAGTGCATACAAGGTGGCTGCCTCCAGCCTCCAGGTTCTTACCAACACCCACCTCTCTTGATCCCTGCGCCATGACCTCAAATCAGACCTGGGGTCAGACCCCCAGACCCTAACATTAGCGTGGGATCTTCAGCAAGTCCACCCCCCCACGCCATCTCAGTTTGCCTCTCTGTAAGCCGAAGATAATCATCCCAGCTACATGGAGGGAGACGATGCGGGAGGGAGGGAGTGTCCCACGCAGGGCAGTGTGCCTGGCCCCGCATGCGGCCACACTCCACCCTGCTTGGGGCCTCCCCTCCCATACCTAGAAGGTGGGGTGGGCGCCGGGCTCTCTAAACCCCAAGCATTTGGGCCGGTTCTGGCCCGCAAAGAACGAGAGTTAACACTAACTCCATAACGATTAACACCCTCTGGCCCAAACACATGCCCAGGGGACCTGTGTTAGGCAGGCCTTTTAGGGCCTTTAGGGCTGAGGTTTGGGGAGCTCCCTCTCGCCCCTCAGCTCAAGAGCATGACCTTCATGGAACTAGAGGCCCCACCCCTCCAGACCCTGTGAGGAGCTAACTGGGGCGGCCCAGGAGGAGTGCCTGGACAGAGCGGGACACCACCCGCCATGCCCGGGCCCTTGAGGGAGGAGAATGGGTGGGGACTCCAGGTGGGAGCAGCAGGTCAGCCTCCTGAGGCCCCGGCCTGTCTGGGGCCCTGCACTCGGCTTGGCTCAGGGCACAAACCCGCCCAGCAGAGAATCCTCGGCCCGTGGGGCCTGGCACCCACCACTCACTCGAACATTTCCTGCACACCCAGTGACCTCATTCCTTTACTTATGTCCCTGTTTACCTCCTGACTCCTTCCCCCAAAGCCGGGCTCAGGAGGCTGTTCTTTCTCTGCTGACTCTTGGCCCTGGGAGCCGCCCAGTGCCAGGGAGCGAAGGAATGAATGAGCGAACGAACTGAACGATGAATGTCTAAGTGAATGCACGGATCCCGTTCTCATGAGAGCAAGCTCTGGGGAGGAAAGAGGCACAGGAAATTTAGGGGATGTGCCCAGGGTCACTGTGGTGGGCTGAAGAGAGTCCCCTAGAAATTCGGGTCTACTTGGGAAACAGGGTCTTTGCAGATGTAGTCAGTGAAGGATCGTGAGACAAAAATCATTCTGGATGAGGGTGACCCTAGAGCCAATGACCGGTGTCCTTGTAAGGGAAAGGAGAGGGAGTTTCGGTAACAGCGGCCCAGGAGAGACCACGTGAAGACAGAGGCAGACAGCCACAAGCCAAGAAACCACTTGAAGCTGGAGGAGGCGAAGGATACCCCCCTCGAGTCTTCGGAAGGAGCACAGTCCTGCCAGCACCTTCATTTTGGACTTCTGGCCTCTGAAACCACAGGAGGATACATCTCTGTTGTTCAAAGCTACCCAGCTCATGGCAATTTGTCACAGAAGCCCTATGAGACTACTATGGTTGCACAGATGGCCGTGGAGTCCAAACAAGGAGTGAAGAACTCAGCAAGGCAGGCCCCGGGGGCCGGACACAGCTGTCCTGCATGAGGGCTGTTGTCCTGGGGGCCCCCGCAGGGAGCCCTGCAAGAAGGGGAGGGGGGGGCAGAGACCAGAGCAGACCCCAGCCCTGCACTGTTCCCACTCAGGGACGGGCAGAGGAAGGCACTTTGCCTCTCCTTGGCTCGGCATCCCCTCTGCCTGGGGAGGAAAGGGGCTCAGGCCCGGCCCTGTCCTACATGGG